CTGTTACTAGTTACTTCAATTAATAATTAATTCAAGGCACTATAAAGCAAAAGGCAAACAAGCATCAACTCAAATTACCTAAAACAGGCAGCACAGTAGAAAGTGTTTTACCCAAGCCAGATGAAAAATTGAAAGGAAATCGAAGCTGAATCTGTTTATACTAAGGCCACATCAGAAAGGTTTCTCTTTTCCTCACTCACTGATAGGCCATTTCCTACCTGATAAACTGTTGTCAAGGTTTGGGGTGATTATGTGCCCTCTCTTATTCAGTAGGTAACATATCTTTCACATTCATATCCCTTCTGTAGCAATACATACAGCAGAACAATACAAAAACCAAACATGCAAGGAAGAGGACTAACTGTATGAAACATGTTTCATGTACATCAAACATACAGAGCAGCTCTTGCCTGAAACTGAACATGACTGTCATGGGGTTGCTAATCCCCAGTCTTCTCATTTATGCATGCTACACATCAACAAAAGGCAGCAGAACAGTCAATGAATGATGATCTTTCTTGCATTGCATTAGCCAGATTCTTCACGAGTTTAATAAAAACCCTGAGCTTCCAGCATTGTTATGCCAAGAATAAACATCTCATTTTGTCAACTGTAACTGACTGTAGGCAATTCAAAGCTTCAGAATCCAACAGCCAGGAAAATATTGACAGAGACACATCTTTTCACCTTTCCTTATGGAAAGAATTAAAACAAACCCTAACCACCCTGTGAGTAAAGCTTCCACAGTCTTCTCAACAAAGGTAAGGTTCTATTAAAAATTTCTCTACTTACAAACACTGTTAAAACAGTATTTCTCAGTCCACATCCTTGCTTTAGTTTTATCATCTCATAGTTGTATCCATATAATCAAATGCACCTTTCACATGCAAACAAACCAAATGCATGTATAAACCCACCCAACCAAAATGCAACTTCCAACACCTTTTACTTTTTCAGTGCTCCACTTCACAGCTACGTAAGTATAACCAAGAGATGAAGTATAAGCATCTGGCAGAAGGCATAAACCTTTAAGAGCAATCATGCCACTGCAAAACAGATCAATACAAAATCCATATGGACCTACTTAGCAAATCTTACACTGTGAGCTATTGAAGAAAATAGTTGCAGTAGATCCTACACCAATTAAAGATAATTGTTGTCCTTGCTTTTCAGAAAAAAGAGGAAGTCCAAACAGTAACTCTGGGTTAGAAGGCATCACCAAGATCTTAATCCTATCTAGGTCAGCACAAGATTTCCCATAATTGTAGGTTGAGGGGTTAATGCACCTCTTCAAACATCTGCCCCCATGGAAGCAAGCTGAAAGATGGGGTCAGGGAAGAAGCTACCAGAAGTAACTTTAGCAATGTTTTAAATTGCCCTATCTCTCCACAAGGGGATCACACTGATGATGTAATTAATCCTTCCTGAAAAACATCTAGGATATACACAACCCCTGTGAAGTACAACTTTAAACATCCAGCCAAAACTGGCTTGTTCTTCATTATGAATATTGAGTCAGACTTCTTCGGTACTGAATCTCTAAAATGGGGTATGACATAATAATCACTAAAGAAATTGAAACAAAAAAGAAAACTGTTTCAAGAAGAGTTCCTAAACCAGCCTCCCCACAATGACAAGTTCTATAAGATGCAGAATACTACAAGTAACTTGGGTAGAACGTTATGAAGTACCAATGTATGCAGAGAAAAGGCCCTGCAGTAGGCCCAACTTGTCAAACATAAGCCTCAGCACTATGAATTAATATGAGAGTGTGCATCATGGAGAAGCTTGCTCTGTTCCTCCACATTATTTTCAAACAGTACAGCATTTGGGATCACTCCTTTCCCATCACTATTTACCCAAGTCCTCAGCAAACAAAGATATTACTTCCTGGTAAAAAGCCTCAATTGCAGTATGTACTGAACTGTTGGATTTTTAAGCATGTTTTAAGTAAGGCAGCTTGATTCCAGCCTGTCACTCTTGAAGACGACAACCAACTCACATAGTTAACAATCAATCTGGACAACACAGAGAAAGAAAGCATGTCTCTCAGCATGCCACAAGCTGTACGTGGGAATGATCAAAGACAGGCAACATGCAACAGAAATGGTACAATAGCTGACGTTTTTCCTCTGCTTTGCATGTTCTGACAAGAAGTTTTGTGATACTCAGTGACTGGATTTAGAAACCCTTAAGAAAATCTGTATGTGCTCACATCAAGAAGAATACAAGCACCAAAAGAGCTAATTTGAACTCAGAGACAGAATCTGTTATCTTGTAAAGATGTTCTGAGAGCTGCTCGTTGAAAATGCCACCTTTCCACTGTGTCAACAGAGAAGCTATTTGCAGCTAATGAAAATGCTTTTCCCTGAAACACTGAATCATTTCCATTCTCATCTGAAAAGCAAGGTAATGAATAGAAGTACTTTTAAAGACACATAACACAATCTAAAGAGAGCTCTTACACCAGTAAGTCCGTATGTCAGGAGCAGGACTTGGGTTGCAAAGAAGGGTCTGGCAACAATACTACTTCTTTCAACTGGAACAGTTTTATATTGTAAAACTGTTTATATCAGCATAGTTTATTTCCTACTCAGAAATAACCATAAAAATAACATTACAATACAGTAACTACAGGTCTATTATAATTCCATAATAATAGATGGGTCTGTGTTTAATAACGTAAAAGTACATTTAAAGCAGTACAACATATTTTTGTAATAACCCCATGATACTTCTGGTGGAGCACATTAGTCAGATTCTGCAAGACACTCCAAGGAAGATATCCATCAGGCTATGCCAGAGACCTGCTTGACCAATTTTCTTTAAAATTCATGATGGGACTGGGCCAAAGGGCAAAGTCAACAAATATCAACCCCTTCATTCAGCTACTTGGTTGTAATATGGAGCATGAGCAACAGCAGAAAGTATCCAGGAACAAATAATTTGCATTCAACCAGACAGTGGCACCAGAGTGTTCAGTGATGAAGCAGGAGTTTCAGCACATACTTGTTAAATTGGTCAGTTGGCATTTATGTTCTGGCACAGTACCTAGCCTGGTCTAAAACTTGTGTGAATATACTGGTAAGTCAAGTAACTTTACTAGGAAATTCAGTTCCAAGTCAGTGCAGAGTTAAACTGATCTCCTGTTTCAAGACAAATGAAACTTCACTGGAATAAGAATCATTGCATTGCTACTACCAGTCCATAAACATGAATGTAAGTACAGTTGTGCCAGATTAAGCCCATGCCTGAAAATAATACAACCACATCCAGCTAAATCAAACTCCTTTTTCAATGAAAGCTGGGGGAAAAAAAAGCATATTTTTATGAATTGATCTAATTGTATAAATCTAAAAAAGTAGGTGAAGTTGACAACACTGTACATAAGATGGCAATGGCTATACCAAAGCTATGCCTGAAGAAAATTATGTCTGCAAAAATGTTCCGATGCTAACAATAATTTTGCATTAATTCAAATGATTCTTTGATGAAAGAACATAATGCTAAATAAGCACGGGAAAAGTTGGCAGTGCTGTGGTGCAATCACACCACGTGGTCTCGAAGCTAGTTTACTGATCTTGTTACTATATAGTCCCTTGCAAATAAATTGATTAATAGATGCCATCCCACTCCCATTAGAAGAAACAAAACAGATGGTTCCTAAAGAAGTAGGAAATAACCAGATTAATAGTACAGCAGTGTTGCAACAAAAGATGCCTTGCTCTCCTGCAGAAGACCCTATCCTCCCCTTCTACTCTGCCCTGGTAAGGCTCTCAGGAGTGCTCTGCCCGGTTCTGGGCTCCCCAGTTCAAGAAAGGCCAGCAACTGGAGAGGGTCCAGTGGAGGGCTGCACAGCTGATGAGACTGGAGATCTCTCACAAGGACAGGCTGAGAGAGCTGGGCCTGTGCAGCCTGGAGAAGGTGTCCAGAAGACAGGGCCAGACCCTTTTCAGTGGTGCCCAGAAACAAGACAAGGGGCAATGGGCACAAACTGAAACACAGGAAGTTCCATCTGAATACAAGGAAAACCTCCTTTCCTTTAAGGAGGATGACAGCTGATGAGACTGGAGATCTCTCACAAGGACAGGCTGAGAGAGCTGGGCCTGTGCAGCCTGGAGAAGGTGTCCAGAAGACAGGGCCAGACCCTTTTCAGTGGTGCCCAGAAACAAGACAAGGGGCAATGGGCACAAACTGAAACACAGGAAGTTCCATCTGAATACAAGGAAAACCTCCTTTCCTTTAAGGAGGATGGAGCAACAAATACAAGGAAAACCTCCTTTCCTTTAAGTAGGATGGAGCACTGGAACAAGCTGCCTAGAGAGGTTGTGAAGTCTCCTTCTCTGGAGATACTCAAAATCCACCTGGATATGCTCATGGGCAACTTACTCCAGGTGAACCTGCTTTAGCATGTTGAGATGACCTCCAACGGTCCCTTCCAACCCCAACCATTCCTTGATTCTGTGATTCATGACCAATTTGCTCTTCTCTCCCACTAAAAGTGCAATATGGAATTACAGAAGTGTTCATAAACTAAGCCACTGATCACAATAGAGCAGAAAACACAATGGCCATAACTAGAATCCACTGCCACATTTTACTCAGGTTATGCATTCCAGCCCTCATGGCTTTTAGATTATTACCACATGATGGCCTACATTTTATATGAGACACAAAAACATATGCTATCTAAATATTTGGAGTCCTTATGCGATGTTTTGCATTATGAATAACATGCTTCCAACAGCAAGTAGACAGAAAGTCTTCTCAAGATCCAACAAGAATAACTTCCAAAATATTTCTGATATGATAGCAAGATAATGTGAACATCCTACCATGCGTGACAGATAATTCCTAGAGTAAAATCTCTGTGTGTAGACACGTATATTTATCCATGTATGTATCTACATCATGAGAGATATAATCAAGAATGGCAAGGGGGTATGAGAAAAAACAAACCCATTCAGGTAAAACAAGTATTTTCCATATAAAAGATTTACCTGAGACTCCAACTCTTCCAATTTACGCTTCCTGGCATGAAGAGCTTTACTTGGAAAAGCCCAGAAATAATTGGAAGTTCCAATTCTATCAGTGTCCACCATGCCATCATCAACTAGGCTCTGCAGAATCTCTTTCACTGACATTGAGGCTAACAAAAGCAAAAATATCAAATTAGAACTGCACAGCATCTAAACCATGGAGAATTATGAATACCACAAGACACCATCTACAATCATCTGTGTGAATATTCTACTCTAATGTCAGCTAGCTGGAAGATTGCAAGAGGACACTATGCCTGAAGCTTCACTTGAAGGGATGAAACCCTGAAATCAGCAGTTTGTTCACAAAGACTGCTGTTCTACACATCTGCTATCAGATGTTTGCAAAACACCAATCGTGAGTATCTTACAACAGATCATGCACATTGCAGTACAATACCATACCAAACCCACCAGGGGTGTCTGAGAAGTGGTCTTGCAATCTTAATTCTATGAGATTTACAATTTCTTGTTTAGGAGAATAATTGCATTTCATTTTGTAATGCTTATCAAAACATTTAATAGCAGCAGAGGCACTAAAGTCTTCTGTCTAGATTTGGGAGGGACAGATTTTACTTTTGATTATATTCAGTTCCCATACAGGAACAAAATTCACAAGGATCCAAAACATTTCTGAACATAATTGATCATTTTCCAGCAAATCTTTGGTATGATTCACCATTTTAAAGAAATGATACCTGCTCAGCAAAGCAAAGTAGTTATTACTATCTGCAAGTGCTGCAGATATAAAGACTTTTGAGCTCGTTAATGGGTTTTGGTATCAGACCAACCAATTTCAAGTCAAAAGGGGATCCCAGATCCAAAAGACCCTGGATGCCAGGATGGGGGTGTTTTCACAGGCTAGTCATTTTTCTTTTCAGAGTAACTGGGGCTTGGGTTGTGCGCCTAAATGCCTTCATATGCAGAGGCAGCATGAATTTGTACTATTCAAAGGTGTTAATGGTTTTAGAAACTCTATACTTGATTTTTAAGTATTAAATTGCATTGCATGTATTTACTGCAAACTTCAACTAAACATATGGATTGTCAAACCAATCAAGACAGCACTGTCTTTTCAGAAGCCTATGAGTGCCTCTGTTAGCTGCTGACCCAATCGAAAAACTCTGCTTTGTGATATTCATGTCTGCAGGTCTTTCAGCAACTTCATTTACTCTTGCACTTCCATGCAGATGTTCATTACCTGAGTGCACATAATGATTTCATGCACTGAAAGTCACCACAAGTCAGGCACCTCAGAGCCTAAGAAAGTCCCCTCCCATGACACTTCTAGCACTATAGCACTGCAATTGATCAGCCTTCCATTCTAGTATTTTTTCCATTATTACAATCACAAACCTAAAATTGTAGCCAGGAAAATTTACACTGTATGACCTGTCCCAAAAATGATTAATGGCTCAAGAGAAATAACTTTTGTAAACACTTACTAATCCCTTTTTCTTTTGGGGCAATCTTCTCTATATCCTTCAGCTGGAACACATCTTTCTGTGCAAAACATGAAAGACACTTCAGTTCCAAATGACAGCATCATCTAAGCCTGAGTGGGTTTTACACTATATAGATGCCAACAAAAGCAAGTAGGAAATAGATTGTATGTTTCTGTTTTACCAGGGAAATAGGCTGTATATCCTCAGTAGAAACAAAACATTTCTGAGAATTAAATCTTAAGAAAAATACCATTATTGTAACAAGCCCTGTTCTTTCCTTTGGTGCTCTAAAGTCACCATATTTTGTCTCAAATCAGACAGTAAAGCCCTTAGGGCAGACAGAGCTCAGGATAGATGGTCAGCACCAGATGCACCACATTGCTCAAGTACCCAAATGTCCCAGTATTTTTCTTTAATAGGTGAAACATGGTGGATTACTTATACCACCAATACAATTGTACCTCTGCTTTTGCATCTCCAGGTTTCTTCACCCCAAGGACCTCTTCCAGGTCTGCTCTCAGCATTTCTAACACTCAAATTTCTTCATAAACTGCAGTGAGACACTTCCTAATCTCCTGCTGTTCCCCTTACAGTAATAGATTCAAAGTGATTAAGATGTGCATAGGGAGCACATGACTTTAACACCACCTGTGCATCTTCATGCCTTGGCTCCACCTGGGGATAAGCCACCTGATCAGAAGATACATGAAGCTTTGTCCCTGTAATTTATACACTGATGACACAGGGCATCAGTGAAATGCACAGCAGAATATAGAGTTCATTTGCATCTACAGTTAAGCTCCATTTAGGACCTGTTTTCCCCCCAATGTAAAAGCAGGATAATCACAAGTTACTTACTGTTTCAAAAAATATCTCCATCATGCGAACTCTCTTCTCCTCAAAGCTCAGACCTTTTTTCTTGGACTAGAACAGGGGAAAAAAAACAACAAAAAACCAACCTAAGACATTCAGCCAAATGAATAATTAACATATGCTCAGAATTCAGATCTATTTACCTCTAAGGTATATTTGCCATCCCTTAAAGTACCTCACCACCAACCACAGACTTCTGGATACACTGCTTCTTTATAAATAATCACTACACCAAGCTCATCCACCTGCAATCTATTAAATGGAGGGACCTACCTCCTAAGTTTGGAGCTGACCTTCCACACAACCCAATCCAGCTCCAGCCTCACTGTTTCTTGACACACACAGACAGTTCCTTGTTTCACCTTACTAGATTAACAATGTGTATTTATACCAAACTCACCCAAATGTTTAATACTCCTTAAAGAGACAAAAAGTATTGTTTTTTATCTTGTGATATAGAGACACTAGTGTGATATGTAGACCATTTAGGGTTTTCTTAAGGAGTTAAAGAGCATTTTGAGGTATATCTTCCTTCAAATGCCCTAATCAACTTTATAATTTCAAGGTAACATCTTAAAAGCTGTGTGGCCAAGTAGTAAAAAGCATGGGTTGAACTAGAAACAAAAGACAGGAATAGCTACTCACAAGCTGCTATCAGCAATACAAAACTGAGAAACAGTCTCCTCCAATCACTTTCAGAGATGCTATTTTGACATGTTCCTTGTAAAATATTTCACAGAGAAATGGAGCTTTATGAATAGCACTTAGCATAGACCTCAATGACCCAAAAGCAGCAGCTATAATGTGAATCAGAAAGGTTTCCCCATAGCCCATTCCCTGCTTCACAGGCTGTGAGACCCTGCACTGCTGCATGTGGCTACGAGAAACTGAAAGGGGGATATAAAGGGCAAAATAGGATGTTGGCAGAAAAAGGGCTTCCTTAAAACAAAAAAGGGGGAAAGAAGACATAAATAGTGTTGCCCTTGAGTCAGTGTTAGTGAGTATTCTAAGAACATGGTGCTTTGAGAAAGACAATGCAGTTCCTTTTCCAAGCACCAACGGAAGGGAGTCAATACCATTTTTACTCTGTAACGTCTGCTTCCTTCTTAAATACATCACATGGTAGAGCAGCCGAACATTTAAAATGTACATTAAGCACAGAACTGCCAGACTGATTTAATTCGGAAAAAATAAATTTAAAAGCTAGCTCAGGCAGCTACAATAACACAGAGACAGGAACAGAAGCAATTCAACATTTTATTTAACAAAAGCACCACGACGGTTTGTTTCAAGTCTCCTCCCTTCTGCATTAGCCAGTGATGCCCAAGGTCAGCACTGATATCACAGCTCTCTCCTACGATGTCAGTACACTGCAGGACTAGAACCGGAAGCCACCACGGACAGGCAAGCAGGAGAATGAACAGAACGAGAC